TTTCAAGAGCGTTGATGCGTGCGACTAGCTGCTCAACGACAGCGGCGCTGACGGAGGTCACCGCTGATGGCGCGTTAGTAGTTGCTGGTGGTGGGCCCGGTGAGTCTGCAGTAGCTTTTCCTTCAGGAGCCATAGTATTGCAGACTTTAGGATGTAATAAATGATTTTATAAAGGATTGTTCTAGGAAGAACGAGGGCTTTGACAGATCCTATAATCCACTCTAGCTCTCATACCATGCTGATACAACCAAAGGATCAGTGGATAGGATAGAATGTGTTAAGCCTGAGATGAGACTGTTAAGTCTCTGTAGTGACCTTGTTTAACAAGAGTTGAAAGAGAACAAGATGATTGAAAGATAGGAGTACAGGGAATTAAATAGCAACTAACTAGTCATGTACTCTGAGGGGTACATTCCCTTATTAACTGTATTACATAACTACAGCAACCGCGACTATTGCTGTCCTTGACAGTTACCGTGTTGCAGTCAGTTAACTGTCGCGCGGTTACCGGATCGTCAAGGGTCACGACCGTTGACTTCCTCAAACGGTTGACCTTCGGGTGACCCTCGACATTCCGCGTGCTCTATATGAGCTCATGCGGTACTGGTACAGTGGGACAACTTCGGGAATGCCTTTATAACCTTTCGGTTATTCCAACACATTACACCTTGGTTGAAGTTGCATGCAGGCAAGTTTACTCAGTTCAGTAGAGTTATGCGCTGGGTTTACAACCAAGGATCAGTAGCCTCTCTAAAGTTGCACTGCCAGATGCCACCAACCAAGGATCAGCTTATATTGATTAGTGTAATACATTGTCCTGGTCAAGGATTTGTTTGGATAAAAACAAGGTGTATTGTTCGAAGGTAAGATAGGTACTGGTCAGAGCATATGGTGTGGTTTATTTCGAACTCGTCAGTAGCACATTGCATCTATTTATAGTATTAGGAGAAAACCTAGCTCAGCTTGCTTGTGTCTCGTGATTTTTCCCGCCAAACTACATACCACTTGTTTTTTTGCGGTGGTGCAATTTTTTTAATAGAGTGTTATATTTTAAAATATTACAATGTAGAATAATTACGCAAGGAAAAGGAGTGGAAACGGGAAGAGAGGAGAAAAGGAGGAATAACGTGAGTAGAAAAAAGGAGAGAGGAAGAAAGGAGGGGAAAAAACCACTTGTTTTCAGGAGCCTGACCCGTACATCTTTGACATGTGGGGATTTCTTGCTGGTCACGTACGTCCAGAATCGCCTCCCCGTCAGCTCCAGGTCAGTCATAGTTGTCAGTGGTTGTGCCAGTTGCAATGTGGGGTACAATTTGTGGCTGTGCCCCTTGAGCCTCTACCCACACGTGCGAAGGAAACAATAAGTGGTGCGGAGAATTGCTGGCTGGGCTCGCCTTTGTCGAGTCGTATGCGGAAACTAAGCATGTCCACACAATCGCTGGAGATTTGAAAATGAATTGCCCAATAAACTCCATGACACGTATACGTCATTTTGATTTCTTCAAGAATGTCCAAGCTCGGGGATTGGGCTGCGACTTGGCAGGGATCTGGGTGTTACGAGTGCCCACGGAAAATCGGCAAGGACAGTCGAACACGATGCACAGCATTTGGAGACGGGCTGCCCACCACATTGTTGGCAGTTCCATACTGGGTATGGATTATAAACAACGCCGAATCCACACCCAAGTTCAACCCCCGAAGAACGCCGCCGCCGAATCTAGAAACCAGGCGCTGAACAATGCCAAACAGCAGCGGCGGCCGCAAATCACGAGCACCCTTCCGCAGACGCACAAACAGCTGTGCGCTCTAGAAAGCCACACCAACAACGAACGGCACAAGTGTGTGCGGTGGTGAAACCGTCAGGAAGGCATATGTACGAATGGGAATTGTGTGGTCCGACAGGGCAGACTGCAGTCTCTGCCGCGGCATCTCGACGCCCTCACTTCCCTGACCTGATTGCTGCTGTCCCTGTCATCCATATGTACAGTTTTGAAGGAGTGTTTTTGGAGCTATTCAAACAAAACTGTGCGAACCAGGTGAACAATTTATGAAGGGTTTTCCAACATCTGTTCCCAAGATTCAATCCCCCAAGTTCCAACTCCCGAGTTCCGACACTGAACGTGGACCAGACAGATGCCTTGGTGCTTCTCACTCACCTCTCTTTCATTTGCGCTCACCAGCCATGGCGTGGATCCTGTTGGTACCCTTTTCGCCACCAGTATTCGCCAATAATCACCAGTATTCGTTAAAGATCACGGTCAATAATCTTGGCGGTCCGCGTTTTAACCTCGTTTCATCTCGTTTCGCCACTCTTGATATTGACGATTAGAGTGATGCTTTATTTATGACCGTTAAAACAGCGAGACAACGGTCCAGGCGCCGCTACTGTACAGATCGTGCGAAGTACGTGTTGTCATTTTTAATTCTTCGCGTTTTTCTTCATTTTAGCGGTAATGTTCCAGACGGCTGTTATGTCGGACTCGACGGTACGTCGAGCTATCCTTGCGATGTATGACGTTTTTTCCGAATAGTTCAGATTGTCGCAGACGAATCACGGCGAAGCTAAAAAGGAGGAGTAGTGCCGCAGTGACGAGCTTCGCAAGCCTCTGCCATAGAGCGTCGCCATCGCTCGTGCGAGAGCGTCGCAACCATGGATGACCCTACCACATGTTTCCACCTCGACGATGCCGCGCTGTTTCCCACCTTTCCCGGTACTTTTCCTCGCACCGCCATGCCGCCTCCGTGGTCCCCGCCTATTCCACTAACCGCCGCGGAAGAAACAAATCAGACCCCACTTCAGAAGGACCATAACCCCGTGATTCCCGCCGCGACATGCGGGGCGAGCGACGAGAACAAATTAGGAGCAGCGGAGGGTGAAGGTACAGATGATACTGTATCAGTAGGAGGCGGTAGAGGGGGTAGTGGTTACTATTTGAGGGCGGAGCTGGAGAAAGGAGGAGGTGGGATAACGGCGAGTCACGGTGTTAAGGAGCTGAGGCAAGGGGGAATGGGTGGGCGCTGGCACTCGGGGCTGCTCGTCTCTCTGCGGCAGCAGCAGCAGCACCAGCAGCAAGAGCACCTGCGGAAGCGGCGGCGGCAACAGCAACAACAGCAGCAGCAACAGCAGCAGCAGGAGGCCCGGCCATATCAGCAGCAACGGCGCGAACAGCAGCACGTCACTGCGAATTTCGCACACATTCGCCCGGTCTCCCCTGCCCCTTGCGCCCTGGGCGGAAACTACTCTTTCGGGTTTTCCGCCTTTCCCATAACCTCACTCCCGCAGCCTCTCCCCTTCTCCCCCGCGGGCGGACTGCTTCCGCCGTTGGATGTGCGCGGGGACTGGGCCGCGGAAGGAGAGGGGGAGTGTGAACCGGAGGGGGCAGAGGAGGCGGAGAGCATGGGTGCATCGGCTCTTCAGGGGACGCGAACGGAGGTAACCATGGGAGGGAACGTGGGAGCGGCGGAAGGCGCGGAGTGGGCGGAAGATGCGCGAAAGGCGGAAGGCGCGGAAGATGCGAGGAAGACGGAAGGGGCGGAAGAGGCCGGGCTTTTTTCGGAAGCAGATCAGGGCGGTGACAAGCAAGGATCCGCGAAACCTGGAGGCGGCGCTCAGGGAGACGTTGACGGTCACGTTAACAGTAACGGTGGCGTTGACTGTGGCCGTTATGGTGACAACCTGACAGCAAGTAACGGCATCGCAGGGCAGGCTTCAGTGGAAGCAGACTGCGGGAGAGTGGGGTCTCAAGCGCTAGTTGCTACACACAGGGGAACCACGGGTGGCTCAGCGATGACAGCAGGAGCAGCAGGAGCAGCAGGAGCGTGCTTACTTGGTGGTGTGCTCCCCGTGTGGGCCCCTGTGACACCGGCCATAGTCGAACCTGGCGCCGGCACACATCATTGCCATGGCCACCGGCAGCAGCAGGAGCAGCAGCAAGAGCAGCAGCAAGAGCAGCAGCAGCAGCAGCAGCAGCAACAGGAGGAGAAGCAAGAGGAACAGCATCAGGAGCTGGAAGAGGAGCAGCAGCAAGAGGAGCAACAGCAGGAGCAGGAGCAGGGGCAGGAGCAGGAGCAGGAGCAGCAGGAGCAGCAGCAACAACAGCAGCAACAACAGCAGCAACAGCAAGAGCCGTTGGAAGCAGCAGCGAGAGAGGATGAAACAGGAAAGTGGTTACAAGAGCAAGAGCAGCAGTGGCTGTTGCAGCAGCAGGAGGTGTTGAGGGCTCAGCTGGAGGTGCAGGCAGCAAGGCAGCAGACCAACAGACAGAAGCAGCAGCAGCAATTACCAAGCCACCACCAGCAATTGCTGCTGCTGCAGCAGCAGCAACAGCAGGAGGCGGAACAGCAGCAGGGCCAGCATCAGGAGCAGCGGCAGCAGGGGGAGCAGGGGCAACAAAGGGAACAGAAGCAGCAGGAGGAGGAGCAGGGGCAACAACAGCAACAGGAGCAGCAGGAGCAGCATGAGGAGCAGCAGCAGCAGGAGCGGGAGTTTTCATCGGGCATGGTGCGGCTGATCCACGACGCGGCTCACAACCAGTTCAGCTTCCTGCAGCAACCAGTAGACCATCTCGCTGCCACCTCCCCCCGCCACCACCACCACTGCCCTCCCTCCCCACGCCCCTCGCCTCCCCCATTAACGTCCCCTGCCCTCCCTTCCACGCTTGCCCCCAGCCCTGCCTCCGCGCCCTCATTCTCGCATCCCCATCCCGTTGCCACCGCGCTCGCTGGGCCATCAGCAGCGGCTCCAGAAGCCACAGCCGGAGCAGCTCCAGCGTCGTCCGCTCGTCAGCGTTCCCAGGCTTCTGTTCCGTCTGTCTGCGCATGCCCGAGTGCGCGGGAGGTGGGGGGCGCGGGGAGGAGAGGAGAGGAAACAAGGGCTGGCGAGGCGGGAGCAGGGGAGAGCATGAGGGGGGGAGTGGGCGGCATGTGGGAAGTTAGCCCGGGGTTCTCTGGGCAAGCGGTGGTCAGTGGTGGAGGAGGGTGGGGAGGGATAGGGGAGGGCGATGGAGGTGGGCCAGCAATGGTGATAGCAGCAGAGGAGAATGGTGGGGTAGTTTGGGGGCACACCTCTGCAGCAGATGGTATAGTCCGGGGGAAGGTGCAAGGCAGCTTGGCTCAGCAAGGGGTGCAAGCAGTGGCAGGAGCAACAGCAGCAGCAGCAGCAGCACCAGTAGGTACAGGCAAGGGCGAGGGCGTGCAAGGTAAGAATACCGAATCTGAACCTACTCCTCCTGCTGCTGCTGATGCCACTGCTGCCGCCGCTGCGCCTTCTGCGCCTTCTGCGCCTTCTGCGCCTTCTGCTCCTTCTGCGCCTTCTGCGCCTTCTGCTCCTTCTGCTCCTTCTGCTCCTGCTCCTTCTGCTGCGGCTGCACGTGCTGCGAGCGCATCTGCCGCGCCTGCCCCTGCCCCTGCCGCTGCCGCCGCTCGTCCTGCTGCCAGTGAGCTGCGTGCGTCCACAGCAGCCCTTCTCCCCCGCAAGCGCTGTGCCACCTGGACGTTTGGCGATGCCTATGCGGCCCTGGGAGGAGGCATGGGGGCCGATATAGGGGGCGACTATGGGGGAGCTATGTGGGGAGCTCTTGACGGCCCCCTTGCTGCTGCTTTTGGAGCTGGTGACATGGAGGCTGGCTTTCTGGCGCCTGCTGGTTCTGGTGATGCCGCTGCTGCTGCTGCTGCTGCTGCTGCTGCTGCTGCTGCTGCTGCTGCTGCTGCTGCTGCTGCTGCTGCTGCTGCTGCTGCTGCTGCTGCTGCTGCTGCTGCTGCACCAGGTGCTGGTGGTTCTGCTGGCGCTGGTGTTGGTAAGAGTGTGGAGGCGGGTGCAGGGGGAAGCCTGTTGGCTTCGCTGGAAGCTTTGCAGCAGGAACAGAGGCAGGAGCAGCAGCAGCAGCAGCAGCAGCAGCAGCAACAGCAACAGCAACAACAGCAGCAGCAACAGCAGCAGCAGCAGCAGCAACAACAGCAGCAGCAACAACAGCAGCAGCAACAGCAGCAGCAGCAACAGCAGCAGCAGCAACAGCAGCAGCAGCAGCAGCAACAACAGCAGCAGCAACAACAGCAGCAGCAACAGCAGCAGCAGCAACAGCAGCAGCAGCAACAGCAGCAGCAGCAACAACAGCAGCAGCAACAGCAGCAGCAGCAGCAGCAGCAGCAGCGAGTGGCTGTGCGGCAATCAGACGTGGACAAGTGGCAGAGTCTGGTGGCACAGTTACGCACGGACAGTATCAGCATTGCCCCCGTCTCCTCCACCAAGAGGGGCCGATGGGGCAGCGGCAGTGGCAGCGCTGCCACCACCACCACTTCCTCCCAGCCCCTCACTCCCTACACGCCTCGCTCTGCATCTGCTGCTCCTCCTGCTGATCCTACCTCCCCAGCTTCCACCCTCCCTTCCGCTGCTGCTGCTCGCACTGCTGCTGCGCTGCAGCACCCGCACGCGTCGCCCGATGTTCTGTCTCCCCGCAGGAATCCGTCTCTGGCGTTCTTTCGCTGCATCTCGGATCCCCTACCCTCAGCTTCTGCAGCTGCCAAAGGCACGGGAGCAATCGCAGCGCCACTTGCAGCATCAGCAGCAGTGGGAGGACGAGCAGCAGCAGCAGCAGCAGCAGCAGCAGCAGCAGCAGCAGCAGCAGCAGGAGGAGGAGGAGCAGCAGGAGGAGGAGTAGCGGCAGCAGCAGCAGCGGTGGGAGTGGTAGCAGGTGGGTTACCACCCCCAGCGCCCGACCCTTTCGCCCGCAGGCTTGCTCTGCTACGGCAGCAACTGGAGGGTTCCCAGCCCCCTGCACGGACGCAGCACGGAGCGTTGTTGTGGGAGCAGGGGCAGCAGGGACAGCAAGGGCAGCAGGGGCAGCAGGAGCAGCAGGGGCAGCAGGAGCAGTGGAAGAGGAGTTGAGTTCGGTGCGAAGGCAGCTGTTGCTGTTGAGGGGCATGCAGGCTGCAACTGACGGGAGTGGCCGTGCTGTTTCTGCCGCTGTGGCTGCTTCTGCTTCAGGTGGTGGCGGTGGTGCTGCTGCTGAAGCAGCGTTTTTTGTGCCTGCGATGAATACAACTGCTCCCACTGCCACTGCCACTGCCACTGCCAGTGGTGGTGGCAGCGTTGGGGTGCGGAGGTCGTGGGGGGGCATGAGGAAGGGAGGCGGTCGTAACGTCCCAGCAGGTCGCAGCATGCAAGGCATGGGCAATGGCTTGGGTGCTAACATGGGAACAAGCATGGGCAACAGTATGGGCGCGAGCATGGGCGCGAGCATGGGCAATGGCATGGGTAGTTTGGGAGCAACGGTGACGTCCAGTGGGTTCAGTGATGGAGGGTCACAGTGTGCGGTGGAGCCTCTGATTGCACGCACGCACTCTCTGCCCTCTGCCTCTGCCTCTGCCTCTGCCTCTGCCTCTGCCTCTGCCTCTGCCTCTGCCTCTGCCTCTGCCTCTGCCTCTGCCTGCGCTGCCAGCGCGCATGGCTGCTCTGGCCCGCAAGTGGGGCTCCCGCCCTGCCACTGCTGTGGGCGCGAGGGCAGCCTCGGTGGGTGGTGGTTGTGGTGGTGGTGCTGCTGCTGCTGCTTCTGCTGCTGCTGCTGCTGCCTCTGCTGCTGCTGCTGCTGCTGCTGGTGGTGGTGGTAGTTGTGGTGGCGTCATGGCAGGTGCTGGTGGTGCCAGTGGTGGTGGTGTTGCGGCTGGGGGTTGGGGTGGCAGCGGTATTCCCATGCATGCGAGAGTGGAGCGCATGGGCGCTCGTAGGATGAATGGCTTGGCAAGTGGCATGGGGGTGGTATGGGGAGTGGCATGGGGGGTGGTATGGGGAGTGGCATGGGGGGTGGTATGGGGAGTGGCATGGGTGGTTCAGGGGCTGCTGAGCCGGCTGGCAGCAGCAGAAGCTGGAGCCAGAGTTGCGGACTGGGGGGCATGGCGGCTGGGATGGCTGCTAAAGGAGGCGCTGCTGCTGCTGTGGCTGCAGGAGGAGGAGGAGGGGGAAGAGGAGGGCGACGAGGGTTAGGTGCAGCAGATGGTGACTGTAGTGTGAAAGCCGGGAGTATGGGGAGCTTTGGCGGCGCTGCCGGTGCGAGTGCGGGTGAGGGAGCAGCAGGCGCAAGCTCTTTGAAGCAGCAGCTCAGCTACTCAATACAGCTGTCTCCTCCCACTCCCTCTGCTTCTCACGCTCCTCTCTCCCCTCCCAACCCCGCCTCTCTGCTGGCGCAGCTTCCTGCACGCCAAGCGCGCTGCACCACCCCCAGGTCTCGGGGTGCAGTGGGAGAAGTAAACCCTTGGATGCAGAGTGGGCCGTGTGGTGGCGAGGGCAGCGTGTGGGGCGGGCGTGCTTGTGCAGGCCCTGACGAAGCTGCTGCTAGTGGTGGTGGTGGTGGTGGTGGTGTGCGGAGTGACGCTTTTGGATCTGCACATTTGGCTGCCAGTATGGGCGGAGGAGGAGGAGGAGGGGGAGCAGGGGGGGTGTCGGCCAGCGTGGGAGGGGGGGTATCAGCTAGTATGGGAGGAGGTGGAGTTTCAGCCAGCTTGGGAAGAGGAGGAGGATGGGAAGGAGGCGGAGGCGGAGGGGGTGGAGGAGGAGGGGTTTCAGCGAGTATGGGAGGGTCAGTGGATATGGGAGGTGCAGTGGCAGCACATGGGCTGGCAGGGTTGGCAGATGATGCTGCTTGCTCGTCTGTGCCTCCCTCGCTGCTCCTCCAGCAGGAATCCCAGCCCGCTTCGTCTGCTGCTGCTGCTGCTGCTGCTGCTGCTGCTGCTGCTGCTGCTGCTGCTGCTCCCATATCGCGCGCTCATGCCGCCAAACGCCAATTGCTGTTCACGGCTTACAGGTTGCAGCAGCAGCAACAGCAGCAGCAGCAGTTGAGTGAAGGTGGAGTTGTGATGGGTGGAACGCAGGGAGGGATGCAGTGGAGTGCAGACGTGGGTAAAGCATCTCAGATTGCTTGGGGTGACAGCAGCCTGCAAGCCCACACACACGCACAATCACATGGCCAATCACACGCACAAGCACTTGTACGTGCGCAGGCGAGCGGGCTGATCAACACACTTGGCATGTGCAGAGAGGCAGGAGGGGTTGCTCAGTCCCGATGCACTGCTGCTGTAGGAATGGGAGCAGCAGCAGGAGATGCAGGGGGGTTGGCGCTAGCAGCAGAGAGTATGAATGGTGATGGTGGTGGCGGCGTGGGTGGTGGCAGCTTGAGTGGGGCGTGGAGTGAGCATGCCGCTGCTGTGCGCGAGAGATTTGGCATGGGCAAGGGCATGGGCATGGACAGGGGAATGGGGATGGGGATCGGGATGGGAATGGGCAAGGGGGCGGGCGTGTCGACATTTTTCCAGCGCAGCAACACACCCTCGCAACCCACGGTTCCGCTTGAGGTATAGTTCTCTGCCACCCGCCCCTCCCTCGCTCCCTCCCTCCCTCCCTCCCCTCCCTCCCTCGCTCCCTCCCTCCCTCCCTCCCTCCCTCCCTCCCTCCCTCCCTCCCTCCCTCCCTCCCTCCCTCCCTCCCTCCCTCCCTCCCTCCCTCCCTCCCTCTCTCACTCACTCCCTCCCTCTCCCTCCCACCACTCTCCCTCCTGTGCATCGCGATTAGCTCTCAGCATATGTGCCGTGCCGTGCATTCTTTAACCATTGTGCTATGTGACATGCGCTTCGTCTTCCGTAACCCCCCTCCTTCCTCTTATCCTCCGTCAGTCCCCTCTCCCATCTCGCCTCTCCCTCTCGCCTCTCCCCTTTTCCTTCTCCCCTCACCACCGCCACTATCACAACACCACAGGTGCAGCTAGCTCAACTGACTGCAGAGGCAGCAGCACAGCCTTGTGCCTCTGGCCTGCTCGGCACCCATTCCCACACCACCTGTAACTAGGTTACTGGTACCACCACAGCTGCTAGTAACAGCATGGCTTGTACCATGTTAACTAGCACCGCTTGTAATTGTCACCGCTTGTAACTATCACCACTTGTAAGCAATAGCACCACCTGTACCGGTAATAAATCCCTCGTATCAAGCACGTACGGGGATGGGGTATGATTCACTAGTGCTACAATACGACCACCACACCACCCACACTACCGCCGTCACGATGTAATCCAATGGTTAAGCGATTGAAATAATGCTGTACAGTATTTTTTCCTCCTGCTTTCACCCACTATCTCCTTGTGCTCACTCAACCTCGTGTGGTCACTTCACTGCCACCATTATCTACCTAAAGGTACCCGATATACAGTACCGCTTTTATAATAGTGTGCATTGCCTCGATATGTTGGGTGTGCATAAGCGGTCCCTCATAAGCAGCACCCAATATACTACCGCTTTTATATGGTAGTAGTGTGGGACTGCTTTTTTTAACTAGTGTGCATTACCATACGCGTTTAGCGAGTTACCAAACGTGTTAAGCGAGTTACCAAACGTGTTAAGCAAGTTACCAAACGCGTTGAAATCTTTACCGTACGCGTTTTAGTGTCCCATGTAAGTGACCATTGACATACCGTATTTTCCCTTGATTATTGCAGTCAATTATTAGAGAGACTTCTTGATGGGTGTACACTACACTCCAGCGCTCAATTTTTACACTCCACGGAGTGGACCCCAGCCACAGTCATCTTTGTAAATTATTTCACATTGAGAAACATCTCTTGCCCCTGGTTGCAAACACCCATTTCCCCATTTGGTGCCTCAATCTCATGGCATGTACGGTATGTACTCGAGTGTTTATACAATATTCAGGTTGATCCAACAAACAAATATGCAGTATCAAACACACCCTCTGCGTCCTCCATAGCAAGTCACGTTATATGCAGAGGGGTTCTCTCGCGAGCTGAGAGAGTACCGTAAAACATGCATGCATGGTGATGGTGTCATTTCCAAGTCAAACCACGCCCATGCCATGCAGCGACCTGTGAGCAGAGGCTACAGCGTTATGAGCAGACACATCTCCTCCGCGCGCGGGGCCATGCGCATGCGCATGGGCATGAGCGCCAGCGCCGGCAGCGCAAGTGCGCGCGTGCGTCTCCCTCCAGTCGTGCACCTGGCAAGAACGGCTGCAGTACCGCACGCGCCAGCATGTGGAGCACCGCCAAAACTCAAACGCGCGCGTCTCCGGGCGCCCGCACGACGCGCGGCTGCACACCCCCGGGCGCGCGTCGCCTCCCTGCGCTTGCTCCGCCGCGTCTGCAACTGAAGCGGGCGAGAGGCTTTCCTCCGCCGAGTCGGCGGACAGGCCTTTGAGCGCGCGCCACTCGCGCACGAACACGTGCGCGGGGTGGACGGGCGCGGGGCGGAGGGACGTCTGGAGGGCGGCGAGCGCGGGCTCGAGCGCAGCCAGGTGCGCGTCGGTCAGGCGGAACGACCCGGAAGCGAGCCCCGCTAGAAGCTTCTCCACCACGGCTTGCTTGTTAGCGGTGCTGGTGCCGATGGTGGGGGTGGGGATGGTGGTGGTGGTGGGGGGCGTGATGGTGGTGGTGGTGGTTGTGGGCTGCTGCGATTGCCACGTGGGCTTAGTCGCGGGGGATCGCGGGGAGTGCGCGTGCATCGCGAGCACGCTTGACGGGGAGCGCGGCGACAGACCCGCGGCGGAGAGGAACGCGCCGCCGTCGCTCGATTCCGCCGCCTCGTCGCCTGCCATGTCGTCGTCGCCGCAAGCCACGGCGCCGGACGCGGAGGACGAGGAGCAGGCGGAGGAGTCCGCGCGGATGGGGCTGGCGGGGGCGGCCCGCCAGTCGCGCGCGAGCAGCAGTTGCACGGCGGCCTCCTGCTCCGCGGGCGTCAGCGGCATCGTGTTGCCGTACGGGCTAGAGTTGCACGCGCGGTACGCGGCGGCGGAAGCAAAAGAGCTGTCGCAGGCGCTGGGGTATGGGCTATGTGCGTAGTCCGTCGTGGGGGAGGGGGACATGGCGGAGAGCAGCGAGCGCAGATACGCCTGCGGCGCGAGCTCCGCCGCTTGCGCCTCGAGCAGCATCCGCCATCCTTCTTGCGCGTCTCGTTGCACGCCGTACCCGTCAATTAAACAGTGCCCCAGCTCACGCATCGCCTCCGTGTGCCCCAGCGCCGCCGCTCGCGCGCACAGCGCGACCCCCATCCGCGCGTCCTTGTGTTGCGCGCCGAGCGCGCTGCCGTTGAAGCTGAGAACGCTAGCCGTGTAGAGCGACGCGGCGTGGCCCTCGCGCGCCGAGTGCATGAGCAGGCGCCCGCCCTCGAATTGCGCGCCGGGTATGCAGTAAAAGAGAATCTGCAGCAACGACAGGCGGACGACAGGGAGTAGCACGAAAGCGAGGAGAGGAGAGGAGGGTATGAGTGGACGGAAAACCGCAACAACAAAATCAGTAAATTGTAGACGAGCTGGGGAATCACGACAGACGGGGAGCGGAGAAGGAGTGGAGCAGAAGCTAGCAAGGTGGAGCGGAAAGGATAATGGGCGCGAGGGCGGAAGCGTGGGGTAAGCGGCAACCGTGGGAGCAAGAGACGGACGCAGGGGAGGAGGGGGAGGAGGGGAGGGGAGGAGAGGGAGGGGGGGGGGGGAGAGGGCGAGGGGGCGAGAAGCAAGAGGTAAAAGGCTGGGGAGAGAGCGATGGCGGGGGGAGTGGGGAGTGGGGGGAGGGGGGAGGTGGGAGTAGAGGCGGAGGGGCTGACCATGGCGAGCATGAAGGCGGCTTCGAGGCAGCCGTTTTCGCAGAGCCGTCTGAGAAACATGTACGCGCCCTCGCACCACTGCCGCGCGCGCACCGCCACACCCCCTCTGCACGCGCGCTTCAGCGCCTCGCGGTCCCTGCTGGCCCGCCGCCACCGCCGATTGCTGCGGAAGGAGAAGGCGACGCGGGAGTAGGGAATAGCAAGGGAAAGAGGGACGAAAGGACAGAAACGGGGGGGTCAGAGACGAAGGTGCAGAAAAATATGCGAGAAGAGGCTGAAGATGCAACGAGGAAGGACAGTGCGGGAGGGCGGGACGCGGAACCGCAAGCAGTCAACGGGAAGCGCGAGAGGGGAGAAGGGCAGGTGGAAAGCGGGGCGGCAAGCGGGGGGTCGAGCGGGTGGGGCGCGGGGGCTGGCTAGGGGGCGGGCGAGGGGCACTTACATCATGGATGGAAGGACGACGTCGAGCGGCGACGAGGCGGTGGAATTGACGGCTGCCAGCACCTTTATCAGCACCTCGTCCTGCGCGCCACAACCATGGGAGGGCGACGGACATGGGGGAGACCGAGTGACGAGGGGGAAGGGCGGGCGGGAGCACGGAGAAAAGGGGAGTGGGAAAAGGAAAGGTGAGCAGGCGATTTAGTTTGCACGCACGAGGCGAGCAACGCGGCCAATTGTAAGAGTGGGTGGAGAGCTGAGGAGAACAAGTCGACGGGGCGTGGGGCCAGTGCGTACCGGTAGGCTTTCGATGGTTGTTCGTTTCCTGCTGGGGCCCTCGCTATCGTGTGCTTCTGGGGTCGCCTCGCGATAGCTAGATGCTGTGCTGCAGCTGCTGCTGCTACCGCAGTCGATTCTGCTAGAAAATCTGTCGCCGCCGCCATCGCTGGCGCTGCTGCTGCTGCTGCTGCTGGTGCTGGTGCATCGTCTGCTGTCGATAGGTACTGACTCAGGAACGGGTGGCGGGGTGGGGCAATTATCAAGGGAGCTATCGAGGGCTTTCTCGTCGGTGGAGTACAAGGCGAAACTGGAAGTTGTCGCCCCCATCTTGGCGAAGATTCCCCAAAAGTCGCTCAGCAGCGCGGCCTAGTGTTCGTCGCTAAGATAATCTTGGGTGGTGGTGATACCTAGTAGCAAGACCACCTCTTTACTCTGTTGCTTGAAGTGCCTCCAGGTAAACCAGTCTACACGGTGTGAGAACTGGACTCTGCTTGCTGGCGGGTCTCCAGCTGTAGGGCTTTGTTCCTGTGTATGCAGCGGACAGCAGGTCGAGTCGGCCTTCCAGTGAGGCGGAGGGAAGGGAGAGCAGACGAACGGAGAGTACGCGGACGTGGCTTGTGTGGTGGATGGATTGCGTGTTGGGGGTGGTTGCACTGAAGCAGTATTTTGAAACAGAGTTTCATATGACGACAGGCTAAATCGCGCTGGTACACCGGGTCCGTTTATGTAAAAACCTCAAGTTGCAGACACTACCACACCCGGGAATGTACTTTAGTCGTTTTCACAATCTTACGAGACAGATGCTTGAATTTGGTTCAGGCTAGCAGGCTAGGAAAGTCTGGATGAAGCAACAGTCAGGCGCAATTTTTTGGGGAGCAAGCCCACCTGCGGTCTGTGAGGGACTTCGCGCCAAGACGAGCGAAACAGAGGACCTTCGACCCCCTTCGCAAACTTCTCGCTCACTGCTTCCTTGCAGTCAATTGACCAATGTACAGTTTCACAGTGGTGGTTTGGGCTCGGTTCGGTTGCGCGTGATGTGTTTGAAACATGTCTTGTACACCCTCATTCTCAGTCTGTGCACAATCGCCACATGCACCGAACGCTTGTAGTGACTGCAACGTGCCTAGAATGGTGCATGCACATACTCTACAAGCACAATCACGACTGCCACGTTGGTAATGCAGCTGTTGACTTTGACTGGCAGGAAGTGTACAGTGCGCTCACATGTGTGGTTGGCTGCCGTTGCTTTTCGCTCTACCATACGTTACCCCTTTCTACCGAACGTAGATATTCTGTATGTGTTTTGAACCTGTGTTAGGAATTGTCTGTTTCTTGTGTGTTTTGATGTGGAATCTTTGGCCACAGTGTAGGACAAAGTGAACAAGTCGTTTCGAATGTTACTGTTTTGGCGCTTGGTGCATGGTGTGCCTGGCAACATTAGGGGGTTCGGCCACAAGCACAGAGACGCTACCTGACAACACTGTTGTCGCTGCTCCCGATTGTGCGTAGACTGAGAATGAGGGTGTACAACAAATGATGCTCAGAGCACGGGTGAGGGCTGCCCGAAGAGGGGGCAATCCCTCCCTCCAATCTAGAGATCTTGTGGCCTCCATTGCTTCCTTGGAAGTTACTGCCCAAGTGGACGGCAAAACCCCCAGCATGCAACTGCGGCGTGCGAGTCCCGAAACCCCTAGCCCTATCAGAGTCTCTGAAATGGTTAGGGGTCAGATCAACCGCTTGAGCGCTGCCAGTCGGGTCGCAGATCACAACAACCACCGCCTTTCTGCCCTTCCAGCACCAACAGAAGCTGACCTGCGACGTGCTGCAACTGTGGCACCTGCCTGTTGTAACTGCACACCTGCGATTCGATCATCTCACACACGTGGAGCGAAGTGGATCCACGCTCTGCCAGCACTGCTACGGCGTTGAGAACCACACCCCCCCCTTGTGATGTCCCGTCCACCCTCCAACGAACTCGGCATGAAGGCGCCACTCCTCTTCCTGAAGCACAGTCAAATGGGCAAGGGTCAATGAAGATCAGAAGTTACAACTAAACACTTGGGCCTGAAGTGTGATAGAAATGCAACAATAAAACCTGAGACTGGACTTTCCGATAAAATCTGTACAATTGTTGATAAGTCCACAATTTCATATCAGATCAACAATATTGTTTATTTTGTGCGCTGATAAAAATTGGCTCAGCTATTTTCTATTATAAACATGTGAATGAATATATACCATGTACAAAGTCCTACGGTATTCCTGTCTTACAGGTTGTGCGGGGCTTTTGCATTCTAACGCACATAAGCCAGCCAGTACATTCGAGTTCTGAGTATGCTCTGAAACAGGTCGATCTGGTAACGAGAATGCGGGTACCTCCAGGAGTGCATCAACCGCCTCCGCTGACAGCCATGGCAACCGCACGAGGTGCAACAGGGCGATGCGAGGGCCATCCCGTGAACCGTCCATTCGCTTGAAACCACCACGAACTGTCTGCAGGCACGACCGACCGCACCCGACAGTCCCGAGAAGAGGATGAGATGAGATGAGAGAGCATTCCCTTCCCTTCCCAGTGCAGCTGACTCGTCGCGAGGCGCCACGCGATTCGCCAGCCGCGACGCCTGCTGGGAGTAGACTTCTGCTGGCGAGTGCTTGGAAGATGGATGATGCACTCACAGCCATATGCTCGCCGCGCCGCATCGCGTCTCTCTGCAGCCATTTCCACGAGCACTTTCGGCTGGATCATTTCTGTGTGTCTCACCGTCCTCGCTCGCACTTTACGCTTTCCCTTCTCGCTCCCTTCTCCGCCGTCCCTCGCGTCCCACCAGCACAAATCACTCATCGCTCATCGCTAATCGCTCATCACGCATCACGACCACCAGACGTTTTCCCATCATAAAGCCCCGCCGCTAGCTTCAGGCGTGGAAACGACCATTCCTTGTCGTCCTCGTGCTGCGAGTAGATTCTCTCTGTTATTGCTTCCACGCTAACCAATCCATCCTCCCATCACACGTAGCGATTAAGAGCAAATTCGCCAATCTGCGACTGCGACCTGCGAGCTGCAGAGCCATCCCGTGCGGTACGACCTCCATACGACCGTGAATCTCCGCCATCTAGCCCTCGCGACATCAGCACCCCGTAGATCCGCGCTCCTCGCCGCTCTACCAGTTGCCTTCCAACTGCCTCGCAGTTGCGTCCCAGGTGACTCCAATCTGCCTCCGACCACTCTCACCTTCCCCCGTGGCAGCACCGCCCTCGCTCCTCACTCCTTCCATCGAATCCTACCCCCTCTCCTCCTTCCTTCTGACCTCAACTCCTCGCAACCACCCCCGCATCCCACTCCGCCTCCGCGCCTCCGCGCCTCCGCGCCCCTTCCGCGCCACCCCCGCGCCTTCCGCGGCGACATGAGCACTCCGCGTCTGGTGCTGGCGACGAGCGGGTCCGCGGACAACCCCGCGGGCGCGGGCGTGAGTCCCATCAGCCCCGTGGGCGGAGGCCCGTTCAGCCCCGTGAGCCCCATCTCGCCGCTCAGCCCGGGCATGGCGAGCCGCCAGCGCCTGAGCAGCCTGCAGGAGCGGCGGGGCGTGCCTGTGTCGAACCCGCTGCCGCGCCTGCTCAAGAAGCCCGCCTGGCAGCTGCTGCGCGGCGTCGATAAGCAGTGAGTGCCGCGCGTGTGCCTGCGTGTGTTGTGCTTGGTGCGATGCATGGGAATCTTGCTTGCCTGCCTGCTTGCTTTCTTGCTTGTGTGAGGGAGGCGTGCTGTACTAGCTCTCCGCGTTCCGAGCTTTGCCTGCTCCACTGGTTCGCCTTTCCATCTCTCTCCTCCTCACACCTCACTCCTCACTTGTTTTTTGCGTACACGTGTGTGTGTGTGGCATGGCAGGTACCGCAGCCCCACGGATATGATGATGTCGCCCGTCTCACAGCAGCTCTCAGGGGTCACGCATCCCATGGTACTACCACCACTACCACCTCCCCTCACCTCTCCTACCACATCTTATATCCCTTTGATTTCAAGCATCGGAAAGAGGATTGTCTTTGTCGTATCGCCTCTCCGTTCCCTTGATTCTGCTAACCCTCCTTTCTTTCCTTTCCCGTGTCTGAACCGCTCTGAACCCCTGCAGAGGCAGGTGGGGAGGATGTGCCCACAGATGGACAGTGGCGGCTCCGCTGCTCCCTTGAACATCAGCACCACAGCCACCACATCACGGGGATGACGAGAGAAAGGAGAAGCAGATGGTCGGACCAATGGATGCATGTACACATGGTTGGGTGAAATTTGGCCCAAATGGGTGCTCTGCCCTTGGCTGTGTCTCCCTGCTTGGGTCACTAGCTAGTGCTGATCCCTGTGTTCAGGGCAGGGATACTACACTATGCAATCATCACTCTTTCAGTGATGCTTGCTTACTAGGTGCTTGCTTGCTCGTTTTCATGTTTCATTTCCAGTTTTTACAGCTGCACACTCAGGCAGCAAGTCCCGACGCAGTTCATTCCATCTTGATACGGCACTGGTTGCGCCCATGTGACCAGGGATTATGCGGGGCTGTCTTCCTTACAGTTGCGCCACGCCATGTGCGCTTTCCATTGGGGACTCTTGTGTGTGTGGCTAGGACCGTATGTTATACCTACACATGTACAGTTGTTTTTTTGAAGAGCTTTGGCTCCTTTCTTTCTTGTTACCACTACAAACTTCAATGTACTGTATGAGTGATGGTATCAGTAGTTCACCACATGCACACAATGATGAGAACTGCAAGGAAGAAGAGGTCTGGGAATGAGTGGCTTGTCAGACCAACAGTGCCCCTTGCCCACCAGACTTGAAAACACTCAGAATATGGTGCATTAACCTTGACTAGCACAACCTAGCCTTTCTCACATCGCCTGAGTGTTGCTGGAGCAATGACAGCAGGTACTATCGTACATACCCTGCCTTCATGTGGAACCTCACCCCCACAGGATACACGCCACTGTAGACTACAAAAGACACTGTACAAGTTTGGCTATACACAATCATACTTGATGGGATGGGACGGGACTCCATTGAAACAAGACCTGTCCATTGCCAAGAGTGAAGCTGGGTGGTCAGGTCATGCTCGCACATAGTAAATCTGTACTCCGTCTTCTTCCTGGATGCTGGAGGTTGTTTCGAACACAGGTGCCACGAGAGGTAGAGAGCGGTAGGTATGAAACAAAGAACAGGGAGACCAGAGGGGAGAGAGATACTTGTGAGAACCAGTGCATGAACTGCTATGGAGTGTGTAATGTAAGGCGTCAGGGATGAAATGCGCGGGAAAAAAAAGGAGCTGTGGCACTAGTTGAAGGTGGGGTGGTATACAGGAAAGTGGAAGAAGGCATGTGGATCAATATTGTGTGCATGACCGAATGAGTGTTTGCAGAAACACAGGGAAGGCTTAAGGAAGGTTTTCAAAAGAGAGTGCAGGCAGAGAAGATGGCTTACGCAACATAGATGATGTAAAAGGCATACACGGCTCCAGGGAGGTATCTGCCAGCCGCAACACAGGAGAAAATGGGATTTGGAGAGCTTAAAGCGAGTCATGCAGCGGCTGTATAGCGAGACAGCAGAAAATCAGCAGCCAGAGCGATTAATGGACAGGAGAGAGAGAAATGAAACTGTGGCTGTAAATCTGATGATCTTTGTGAGCGTATGGAGAAAAGCAGCTCGTCAGCTCGAAGCAGCAGCAGAGTGTGAACATTAGGATGTGACTCACCCGAGAAAGCTAAGGAGAAGGCAAAGCTGAGCAGCGCAAGACATGCACCACGAGAAGCAGCGTAAGAGAGGAAACAGCAGGGAGCGGGGAGGGGGGAGGGGGGATAGGGGGCAGAGAGCGAACGAATTGGGAAAACCGATGCGTTTATAACAGCAGAACAAACTGAATCAGGAGAGACGGCGCGGCGACAAGGAGCAGGGCAGAGAGCATTCAAAGTTGATCAGGATTTGGCTAGTCTAAGCTGGTGACCAGAGGCAACGTGCACACGAGCACGATAATCAGGCAGGAAAGAGAAAAGAACGAAGTGCCAAGGGATTATGAGTCAAAGGTCAAGCCAGAACAGAGGTATGAGAAACAGCACGTCCTCCACTCCGTCCCTCACCCAGAATTCAAAGGAGCAGCCGAACTTGATTATCACGCCAAGAGGAGGAAGCAACAGCGCTATAAGGAGGATCAGAAAATCTCCGCATGATAGTCGAGCCATGGTCTCAGCGAGAATGAAAACTGCTGTTGCGGAATGAATGACAAGCAAAGGTTCTCAAATGGAATGCGTGTGGGACAGGATCCCCTAATATCCCGCACTATAGGTCTAGGGTAACCTGATTGGGGGAGTGGGGGTGTGGGGGTGGTATAGCGAAAGCGAACTCATGAAGCCCACATGTCAATATGCGTTATTAACAAAGTGCGCGAAAATACGGTATGTATGAACACAACTATTAGTGAATTATGAACTCATGGTACGGTACAATGAAAGTGGCGAGAAAAAGAATCAGCCAGGTGGTCCAGGAAGGAGTATTACAACCATGATGCAAACATGAAAAACCACTATCAATTTTTTCTGCCAGGAGCACTACCGTATGTCGGAGGTCATTACTTGGGAAATCTCCTTAAGGTTCAAGTTAGTGACAAAGAAGACGATATGGGAGGCCAGAACCTCAGTAAGAACTCCACGCCCGACACAACGCCTTTCCCACAGATCTTGGGCGGTTCCTTGCATCCCCTCTCATGCTGCATATGCTGTTGTCTGGTCATTCCCGCTTCCACACTCAGCATCTCTCTCGCATGCTCAGCCTCCAGCTGTATACCCCCACTCCTCTCCCATGAAACTCCTCAACACACACCTCTGTCATGACGGCAACAGTCTGCTACTGCTGCCACTCCTCCTCCGCCTCCCCTTGCGCCACTGTTGCCGGGAGCATGCAGCAACGCCCAGCACGCCTGTCACTGCCACCAGTAGTAGCACAGCCTGCAGGAGCACCAGCATCCTCCCATCTCCTACAGTCACCGGACCAGCCTTCAAAAGTCCTTCGTTCTCCCCAACCCAGCCAGCTCTGTGACCACGCTCCCCTCCTTTACCCTCTCCTTCCATCTCCCCTCCCCTGTCTCTCTCACCTAAATCTCCACTTCCGCCTAAAGTCTCTCCTCCTGCCGTTCGCCCCTCGCTTTCCCCCCTCGCACTTCGCTCATAAACCATTTCCCCCATGGCGTCAGCACTGCGAGGCGCCCACCCGTATCGCATGCCGCGCCACACCTGCACGGAGAGGTATACGGACGAGCAGACCGCGAACACGAGCACCAGCAGCAGCGCCGCCAGCGCGCATCTTCTCCTGCGCGCAGCGGCGGAAACGGGCGCGGAGGGCGCGGTGGCGGCATAGAAGGCGGCGGAAGCCCAGTCGTGCTGGCGCCTGCGCTGGTACTCGCGCAGCTGCTCCGCGATGTTGTTCCGCGTCAGCTTCACGTGCGCGCGCGCGGACGAAAGGCGGTAGAACGGCGCGAGGAGAGCGCGGAAAGGGTTGAGGAACGACGGGGAGGGAACAGGGGACGGGGGCGCCTTGCGAGACAAGGGCGATGGCTTGAGAAGGGAAGAGTGCGAGGGAGGGATTGGGACGTAGATGGACGGAAGGGGCCTGCGACTGCTGCTGCTGCTGCTGCTGCTGCTGCTGTTGCTGTTCCTGCTAGTGCTGGTGGCACTGCTGCTGCTGCTGCTGCTGCCACCGGTGCCACCGCTGCTTGCAACACAAGCGGCACTGAACGTGCTGCTACTGCCACCGCCGTTGCCGCCGCTGCTGCTCGACTTTCCGCCGTTGCTGCCGCCGCCACCAGAGGCGACGGACATCCGCGCTGCGCGACTCAGCGGCGCGCGTGCGCAGCGCCGGATTTAAGGAGCGGCGCGCGTCGTCACGCAACCATCAAAGCGATCTGACGGTATGGCGGGTAGTTTATTCCGCGACACTCGTTTCCGCGAGCCGCGACGTCAGCGATCGGCGGCGATACCAGCGATACCAGCGATACCAGCGATACCAGCGATACCAGCGATACGAGCAAAAGGCGGCAACTCTCGCCTCACGGCGAACGTCGCTGGAGCGACGGGTCAGTCCCTGGCCTGTCCTATCTTTCCTCTTTGGGCGGTCTGTCCAACTGGAAACCAGTGTTCTTGGATTCAGGAGCAGAAGCGACTGACCGTCTGACCGAATGAAGAATTGAATGCTTGACCTGGCGGCGGAGTGGGCATTTCGAGGTTTCCATTCCAGGCGACCAAACCAAGGAGCTGGGCGTCGAGACGGGAGGAAGTTGACATCTGGGAGGATTTTTGCGTGGTTGGGCGGGGTGAAACGCCAGAGTTGCAATCCCGAGGCGACCCCGAGGCGATCCCGAGGTTCTTGAGAGTTTTGTTCGGTTCCATCCGAAACCCAACCAAACCCAACTCCTCCCTGCCCAACCCGGGTGAAACATTTCACTTTTCAAACTCTCTTGATCACCGCACACTCTCTCGCTCTCTCCGCCGCAACCGCTTGCTTCAACAGCCAGTAATGCGAAGGTTCCAACACACGCTTCAGGCCGGGGCGCTAGGGACGATTCAGGCTGGTCGCCGAGCGGCGCTAGGCCGCCAAGCCGCGGCTCTGTCGCTCCCTCCCGCGTCCGAGCACCCGTCGCGTCGCACTGCCGCGCATTTTTCAACCCCCGCCGCGCCTACTACAAGTCGCGGATCCGCGGCGCTAACCGGATCTGTTCCTTCTGCGGTCCGCGCTCGCGCAGTAGCGGCTCAGATTCGACGCGGACGCAGCGCGGCCGAATTGACGGTCCACTTGCGAATGGAGGCAGACGGCAGCACGATCGGAAGCGAGTTCGAAAATGCGACGCGTGCGACGTGCGTAACACGCGCGACGCGCAATGTGGACGACGCGCAGTCGCATGACCCATCGTCAGAAGTTAACGGCGTGGAGCAGACACCCGTGAAGCCAGGAGAGACAGAACAAACTGACAGAGGAGACTTCGTTGACGGTTTCCGTCACAAAGTCGGCGAGCTGCTCCGTTGGAGCGAGGCGGAGCCGCCAGCAGGATACCGGCCCAACGTGGGACTATGCATAGTTAATCAGCAGGGTCTTGTGCTGGTCGCGTCGCGATTGGACCAGCCTGACACGTGGCAGATGCCGCAGGTACGCGTCTCCGTGCGCCACGGCGAAGTGTCTCTCTGTCTCTCATCTCTTTTCCGCCTCTGCGCTCCTCTGACCTGGCCTCTCCGTCTCTCTCCCTCTCCCATGCGCGCCATGCGGCGGTGGCAGGGCGGAATAGACGTGGCGCGGGGCGAGGGAGTGTGGGAGGCGGGACTGCGCGAGCTGGAGGAAGAGACGGGCATAGCGCCTCGCTCCGTGCTGCGCGTGGGCGAGGTGAGGCGTGCCCACTTTTCTATGAGAAGTTCATTGGGTGGGGACGCTGTATTTATAACCTTTTTCTGTAATCTCGACTTGTCTGTATTCTCGGCATGCGCCCACCCACATGAGCATCCTCGCTTCCCTCTTACCCTGCTAAACCCCTCGCCAATCCCCACTCCCCACTCTTCGCTCCCCCTCCCTTACACCTCCCCCTTGTTCTCTCCGTCCCTTTCAATCTCCCGCTTCGCACGCCCCCTGTCCATCCCAGATGGGGGAGTGGCTGTGCTACCGCTACCCCCCTGCAGTCATTCCGCGCCTAGCCCAGCGGTGGGGGAGGGAGTGGCAGGGACAGGCGCAGCGATGGTGAGAGAAGCGGTGCAGGTGTGGCGGAAAGGGTCCTGAGATGGGTGCTTGGTGCGAGGGGTTGTGTTGAGTGGCAAGCCGGAAAAAATCCCGTCAATGTGCGGCTAAATGCCGAACTCGCTTCAGCCTAAAAATCCCATCAACATTTGTCTCCCTTCAGATCCCCCCCTAACCTCCGCCCTCCTTGTCTCCATCTCGTTCCGTGCGGGCAGGTTGCTGATGCGCTTTGAAGGGAAGGATTCAGAGGTGTGCCTGGAGGGGCTGGGGGGAGAGTCAGCGGAGTTTGGAGCGTGGCAGTGGGTGCCTGCGCCTCAAGTCATTGCCATGGTGAGAGTGCGCACGTGGCGTGGTGAGTGCACACACCTTGGCCACACATCAGACAAGCCAACGTGCCAAGCAGCTTACATTATACATCCCCCCCCCCCCCCCCCCCCCCCCCCCCCCCCCCTCACATGTCGCCCATGGTAGTCTATCTGTCCTGACTCCCTTGCAATTTTCCCTGGCTGTACCGTTCCATTGCAGGCTAATGGTCTCAAGCGCCCTGTCTACACTGCCGCCTTCAAGAGGTTTGCAGAAATAATGGGACAGAAGGATTGGCATTTATGACGGCACAGTTATTCATCAAAGTTCCTCTCATGGCAAAAACAAGCACGTCCAGAAGTGTGGCTTGCTTTGCTACCTAAGGTATTCTGCTGCTGTGACAGGACATATCGTTTCACAATTTCACCATATCTGGGCCAGTTACATGTGATTATAATATTATTGATGTTGCAGATATAAGTGCTTCCGCTACATATCATATTCCTTATTGATAGAGGCATCTACATACAAAGCCCACTCGGCCTTATGGTCCCCATTCAGATGATAGCTTGCCTGTCTGCTGGCATGCAAGCACGAATGCAACACATGGCTGCAGTCACAGCTGCTGCTGCTGTGAGCCCTTAGGCGCCTGTGATGCGTGCTTTGATGTCCTCAATCAGCTCTGCCAGCTCCCTGCGACTCGACTGGTGGGGGGAAGAGAAGAGGGGAGCAGGGGGAAACCAGGGGTTGGAGGATTACACAATAACAAAATAAATGTGGAATTGTATGACAAAATCTGAATCATACTGCCAGATGGAACACACAGTTAACATTCCTACTGCATGTGCATGTTCATCAAAACAGGATGAACCACTTAAATTAGTGAGAGCAAAGCATGCAACCAATGGGCACAAGGGAAGAGGTGTGGGGGGAAAGAGAGTAGGGGCGTCATGGGTTAGTTTTGGCTGACAAAAACATTGGTAACACAAACAGAGCGAGAGAGAGCGAGAGAGAGAGAGTGAGAGAGAGAGAGAGAGAGAGAGAGAGAGAGAGAGAGAGAGAGAGAGAGAGAGAGAGAGAGAGAGAGAGAGAGAGAGGGAGAGGGAGAGGGTGTGGCAGAGAGCGGTAGCGGTAGCAGCGGCGGAGCAGCAGGTTACCTTGAAGAGCAGGTAGCGGTAGACGAACCAGCCCGAGTACACCGTGCCCACCAGCTCCAACACGTTGGGCACCTGCCAGCACACGCATGCACGAGACGCAAGGGGCGAGATGCGGTGAGAAGGGGCGAGGAGAGGTGGGAGAGAAGGTGGCAAGGGGCGAGAAGGGGCGGAAAGGGGCTGGAATAGAAGAGGGCGGGAATTAGAGAAGGCGCGGGGCGGAGACAGGATGGGCATTGGGCGAGGAGACGCGGAGATGTGGGAACGTGGGGATTGTGGAGGTGGCGTGGTGGGGTAAGGCCAAGGCTTGCACGGGCACGAGGCGGGGACGCAGCAATGCAGCACGAGGTTAGCGCCGTTGCTGGGGGGACAGTAGCACAACAGAAAGGCGCGCAGGCGAGAAGGGGCGTAGAGTGGTTGAGGAAAGGGCGGAAGAAGAGAGGGAGGAAAGGGGAGACGGCGGGAGAAGGGGACAGGCGGAGAGAGCGGGAGGAGAGGGCAGGAGGAGAGGGCGGGAGGAGAGGGCGGGAGGAGAGGGCGGGATAGAGGGAGGACTGACAATGGGGAGGGCGTTGACGGCGTTGACGATGGTGGCGGAGAGCCACACGGTGGCCACGGACCCGCCCGCGTACAGCGCCAACGTGCCCTTGTCCTCCACGCCGTCCCACTGCGCGCCGCGCGCCACGTGGCACGACCGGGAAGGTAGAATTGGAAGGGGGGGGGGTTGAGTGCACAAGACAACGAACGGCTGGGGATGCCTCGAGGTTAGTGGCGTGGGGAGGGAGTGAACGCGTGGTGGTGATAGGTGGAGAGACGGACAAGTTGAGACGCTGGATGAGCGGCGGGAAAACAGCGAGTTCGTAAATTGTATCTCCTACTGCGACGATGCAGGTACTCATGCTGCCCCTGACGAGATTGCCTACGATCGAACACAAAACTTCAAAGCCTTCCCCCACGCATTTCAGTGTGTATAAGTGTTCTTCAATACATCATTATATCGTACATATATAAAAATATTTTTCTATATAGAATGCGTACCTTGGCCTTTACATCGTCGATGAACCCTTGGATCGTGCCCGCCGTCTCCTCCGTCGCGGCGCGCACCACCGCGACGTTGCTGCGAGACACGCGCACTGCTGCGAATCACACGTTCGGCACGCAAGCACGATCAGAGAGATACGCTCAGACGAGAACGAGAAAGAGAGAGAGAGAGATACGCACTGCAGCACAACATCAGGCCAAACATCCAGGCTGAACTAGAAGACAGATCTAGGAAAATCGAATAAAACATAGAACTTGAAATCATATTCAATCGACAAAAAGTGCTGCATGCTCGACGACTTCTCGAAAGTCTACCTGGTCGGGCGGCAGTCACTCTAAGCGGGTTAAAGAGCACAGAGCCTGAGACTGCCTTCCTCGTGCTGCGGGGCTGAGCGATGGCGGAAATGGCGGTAGCCAGAGCGGAGGCGTTAACGGCGGCCATTGCGGCGAGGTGGCGGGCTACACGGAGTGGAACGGCGACTCTGACGGTGGAAGGGGTTCACTTTAGTGCGGAAATGAAGGCGAGGCAGACGGATTGTGTTGGAAAAGTGCGAATGCGCAAAATAGGCGGGAGCAGCAGCAAGCACCAAGGCTGTGGCACAGCAGCACTCAAGTGGTGATGTAGGAAATTCCCCTCCAGATCTGCTGATTTCGTGGAGGTTGTACGCGCTATTGAGTTTCAAGGAGGTAGTGGCCAAGTGGCATTCCGAGCATCCAGCGAAACTTGTGGGGCTCGTTGACGACACAGAGGCGCTGGACTCTGTAGAGTTAGCTGCGCGAAAGATCATCGTGTGAACGGTTGAGAAGAATGCTCTGGTTGAAAGGAGGTATGCGATTGGCTAATTTAATGCTTCAGCGATCTTTTGCGAAAAGCGAAGTTACAATGAATGAATTCTGACATCCATCACGACGAGGCGAGGACTTCCAGGAGGATGACGAGCCGCGACGAGACAAAACCGCAGACGTGAGTGGCTGAGACTCCTCGAAAGTTCTCAGATGCCAAAATGAGCTGCCACGAGTGCCGCAAGGGGCAGAATTGACGCTCAAGATGTTGGACCAGATGATGATGTGGACACCCTTGGACATCAAAGGTTCGCTACAAGCTTTCTTCTATTCTTTTTTAGTTAGATATTGTATACTTTAGAATATAGTTGGCAAGGCATACTAGCCTGGTTACTAATGGAGCAAAATGTCCTCTCTACTCTGCACATTAACTTAACAACGGGCTATGCAACAATCCGAGCTTGACCGGTTGCACAATTTTATCTGGTCAGCAGATTAATGATAACACCATTGTAAGTTCTAGCAGCTAACTGCAATATGGGATGGTGACAGCACATAAACGACAAGTCACTTGAACCTATGACGAACTAGTGCGCTATAGAGCTGGAAAAGCGGATCCTCCAAGGCTAAAAGATCTCCGAATCCGGGATGACAGGGATGAGGAACTTGCGAGGGTCCTGATTGGCCTCGAGGTGTTCCCTTCGGGGCTTGACGCGCTCGGGTGTTGGCTGCAGGGGCAGGATGGCATCCCTGTCAATGACAGCATCAATGAGGCCGTACTCCATGGCCTCCACTGGCGACATGTATCGATCACGGTCAATGTCCTTCTCCACCTGCCACAGGGGAAAGTAGAATCAGATTCTCCATGAACGGTGTGTAACAGCTCAGCCTTAAAAAGAGATGAACAAGGAGGTGAGGAGCAGAGTAGAGGGGCGAGAGAGAGAGAAAGAGTGAGTGAGAGAGGGAGAGGGAGAGAAAGAAAGAGAGAGAGAGAGAGAGAGAGAGGGAGGGGGGGGGAGGAGGGGGGGGAAGAACACACCCACGTCCACACACACGCAATCATACCTTGCTGTGGCATGGTGGTACAGGTGGTAAAATTACCTGCTCAATTGGGCGGCCAGTGATTTCAGACAGTATCCTCGTGATATTGGTCTTGTGGTACATGATCTCCTTAGCCTGCTCAAGGAAAAAGGAGCACACGGAAGAGCATGGATGGGTGAGTGATGCGCGGACAGCAGATGGCATTCTGCGTGGTCAAACAGCGCAAGGCAAACTCCCACTCTCCATTTGGCGAAATTAATATGCCTGGTCAGCTCTGAGAACCAACAAGCCTTTGTCGCGGAATCTGTGACCTCACCTGTACCTTTTTGTCGACTCAGAAGTCATCCCGCCAGGTTCACTCTCAGTTCAGTTGAATCCGGGATTTGGCTCACCTGGATCTCCACGTCGATGGCCTGTCCGCTGGCTCCGCCCATGGGCTGGTGCATCATGATGCGCGCGTTCGGCATGGCCAGGCGCCGCCCCTTGCTGCCGCCCGCCAGCACCACGGCCGCCGTGGACGCCGCTAGCCCGAACGCGACCGTGGAGACGGGCGCGCGGCAGTAGTTGATCGCGTCGTAGATCGCCATGGCCGCGCTGCACGGGCGAGAGAGTGTGTGTGGGAGGGGGGGGGGGAGGAGAGAGAGAGAGAGAGAGAGAGAGAGAGGAGAGAGAGAGAGAGAGAGAGAGAGAGAGAGAGAGAGAGAGAGAGGGAGAGAGAGAGAGAGAGAGAGAGAGAGAGGGGAGGGTGGGGGTGGACGTAGTGGGGAGGAGGAGGGGGACGGGGCCGATGAGCGAGGTGGAAATGAGGCTCAGACTGGCAAGAGCACTTTCACCAGTGTCCACGTCTGCTCATGCCCCTCATGCCATACCGCCAAAGACCACCTTCCCTTCTCCTCCCCTCGGCATACACTCTCCCTTCTCCGCCATCTAAAGGTCAGCCTCCTCCAACTCATCTGCGGTCATCTCCGCACCCACCCTGTTTCCTCCTGTGCTCAGTCCACTTACTGTCCTAAAGGTTGTTCGACCCTGGGTCAGCTAGCACTGCGCTTGTCGCTTTGCGACTTAAAAAAAGGAAGTGCAAGAGTAGAGCTGGGCCTTCTGTGATACCCTCGAGGTGCTAGGTCTGTTGTCGGGTCCAAAGCGGAATAACCATTCCAGTCGATCCTCATCCGCGATCCGCGAATCCAGAGTTTAGATTTCCCATCCAACCGACATCATTGCGTGCCAATGCAATCACAGCGAACCGACTAAGCCCTAAATTACACCGTATCGGCACTCCGCTACCGA